AATTATGTATGTTGTTCTCAGACCTTCTGGATGCAAATTCAATCGGCGAATTACGGTTTGCGTTTTCTTCTCTATACTCCTGAGTTTATCTTACTCTGATTCGTTTTAAAGACAATTTTTCATTTTCTTAATAGTTTTTCGTTAGTAGGTATTATTGGGAAGTGATATAAAGATAAAGTGATAACGGGCAGTCTAAAACATGTGTAAGGGACTGAATCTGAATTGTCTAGACTCTGTATTCAATGTGCTGGTAGGCATGAAGGATTTGACAGTGTGGATTTAGATAGAATTGTTTGGATTGACCATACGACACTCGGGTAGATTAAGCAGTGAGATAAACACGGGAACCTACAGGATACACTAAATTAATACGCATCTACTACTGTGGCTTAACTTTTCCTTGATGTACAGACTTATGTCCTTAATTCTGGTTCTGATAGGGCGACTGGGGGGTTCTGATAAAGTAGGTCTGTAGGAAATTATTTTCTTGCTTTCTATCTGTCAGTCATATGTTGCTTCCTCTGCGTGATCGGAAGATCCGACCTGGAATGCAACATATGCAACTCTATTTTTACACACCTTCTTATCTATGAAACTATTTCTATCTGTTAGCCATATGTTGTCCCCTCTGCGTGATCGGAAGATCCGACCTGGGACACAGCATATGCAAAATTCTACCTCTCAATCCCTCTATCCTAGTTAGCCATATGTTGTCCCCTCTGCGTGATTGAAAGAGATCCGACCTGGGACACAACATATGCACCTATTTCTAAATCTAACTTCCTCCTTAATAATTGTTTACTCACCTAAAGTAAGGAGTCCTTAGGAAGTTCTTGATAACCAGGTATATCAGGAAGCGGGGAACACGTTCTAGTGCAACTAAAATTGAACCATTTAGAGGTTGTCTGTAGATCTCGTTGCTTAATTTAAGTGGACAACAATACTCGTGGTCGTCGTCAGCTAAATGGTGTATTTGAAAATTTTGTCAATATTCTTCGTGTTTAGATGGACCACAATACCAGCAATTGACTAGATCTATTCATGAAGGTGAAGGTTCTGATAAACAAAGTTAAGACTGTCTCACAACTTTGATCCCAAATATTTTTGTTTTTGTTAAATTTGTTCATAGTTTTTCTCTATGCACAAATTTATGGGGAGAATTAAAAAAATTCAAAAATCAAACAAAAATCAGAAAATTTCAAAAAACAAACAAAACTCAGAAAATTCAAAATCAAAAAATAGTGTTATATTCTGTTTTATTTCTTGTTCAAGAAAATCAAAAATCCAAAAATATTTTTGTTTCTGTTTTATTTTTTTCAAAAAATATGAAAAACCCAAAAATATTGTGTGCTAAATTTTCTTTTAGTTTTGTTTTGTCTTGAAAAGTGAATTCAGGTGAAGATGAAACTCATGGAGTTTGTGTCGAAGATTTCTGAGCCAAGGCTTCATCCGTGATCATCGAAGAATTCTCATTCGAAGGAGCAAGAAATGAAGATTATTCTTTTGACATTCAATCTTTCAACCCCAGAAGCAAGGTGAAGTTGAAATTGAAGATTATGTGACGGATTGCATTGAAGCCTCCTCAATCAATCTGCTGCTATCTTAAACCTGCTGAAGTGATTCAGAAGATTTGTTCTGTCTGATGTTCTCTCTGAAGATTCTCAAGCTGAAAGTGCTATCTTTCAAGAATCAGTACAAGAAGCCTCCTCACCCAACATGTGTTAAATGTCAAATTTTGAAGATAAGCCAATCCGCTCAAGATGAAGTCGTTTATTGAAGATTCATCAAGTTCATCTTGAAGTTGTGAAGAAATCAAAGATAAACGCTGAAGCCAAGCTCCCAATGAAGATTAACAAGAAAAGCCAGCTACTTTTTAGGGGGAGCTTGTTGGGTCAATTATGAAAAGAAAGCTATAAACCAAGGGGGAGATTGTTGGGTCTAAAATTATGGTTTATACTTTGCTTTTCTAGGCAACTGTATTTTTCTATAGTGTTTTATGTGTTTACGGTCGGGGCTGTGTTTACGGTATGTTGTGACCATAAACCTGTTTACGGTCTGCCTGACCGTAATCAGGTTTACGGTCTATCTTCCTATATATATAGCTTATCAGAATCTGTCAGAGGGGTAGTCAGTCAGTTGAGTTTACGGTCATCAAGTTGTACCTGACGTTTTTCAGTTATTAACGTGTGCAAGCTTGATCCTTATTCCTCTTCTACTCATTTCTTACTTTATTTGATTGTTTGATTGATCACTGGTTAAGATCCTTGTATTGAGGACCTTACATTTGGGGTTGTGAGGCTTTCGTGAGATGCGAAACTCACGACAAGCTCGAACCTCGTAGTGAGCGGTGTATTTTCATCGGCTACCCACAGAAATCCTTTAATTATCTCTTTTACAGACCGAGTGACAATGTTGTCTTCGTTGCGAGGAGAGGAGTCTTTCGCGAGAGAGAACTCATAGGCCAAGGAGACAATAGGAGGCAAATTGACCTTGAAGAGCTTCAAGAGTCAAGCGATGAAGGAACCTCAAACACTAGTGATCAACCTGAGGAGGAAACTCCTGTTGAGCCGATTGACAAATCCGTACCTCTGAGGCGTTCCAGTAGAGTTAGTGTTCCACCTATGTTGTATGGTTTTCATATAACATCTGAGGGTGATACATTTATCAGTGATAGCACACTGATAAATTTGGATGAGCCTAACAACTACAAGGAAGCCATGGCAAGCCTTGAGTCTGCTAAATGGAAAGAGGCTATGGACAGCGAGATTTAGTCCATGTATGACAATCAAGTTTGGAACTTGGTTGGCAATGTACCGGCTCGTAAGACAGTCGGGTGCAAATGGATCTTCAAGAAGAAGACCGACACAGATGGGAAAGTACATATATATAAGGTGCGACTGGTTGCGAAGGGCTTTACTCAAACTCCGGGAGTTGACTATGATGAGACTTTCTCACCAGTAGCGAAGATTAAGTCTATTAGGGTTATGCTAGCCATAGCTGCATTTCATGATTATGAAATATGGCAAATGGATGTCAAAACCGCTTTCCTTAATGGAAAGTTGGCTGAAGACGTTTACATGAGTCAGCCAGAGGGTTTTGTCAATTCAAAGTACCCTAATAGAGTGTGTAAGCTTAAGAAATCCATTTATGGATTGAAACAAGCATATCGTCGATCGAATCTTTGTTTCGATGAGAAAGTCAAAGAGTTTGGTTTTTCGAGAAGCGAGGATGAGTCCTGTGTGTATGTCAAGACTAGTGGGAGTACAGTTAGCTTTCTGGTGTTGTATGTGGATGACATACTACTCATAGGAAACGACATTCAAACCTTGCAGGCGGTTAAGTCCTGGCTTGGGAAGTGTTTCGCTATGAAGGACCGCGGAGAAGCTGTCTATATTCTTGGGATAAGGATATTGACAGACAGGAGTAAAAGACTAATTGGACTTAGTCAAAGTACCTACTTGGAAAAAGTGTTGAAAAGGTTCAACATCATGGATTCCAAGAAAGGTGACTTACCGATGCAGAGCAATGCCAAACTGAGTAAGACTCAGAGTCCGAGTACAGAGGCTGAGATAGCTGAGATGAGTCGAGTACCATATGCTTCCGCAGTTGGTTCGATCATGTATGTTATGACTTGTACTCGCCCTGATGTGGCCTTTGCTTTGATCATGGTCAGCAGATATCAAGGGAACCCTGGAAAGGCTCACTGGACTGCGGTAAAGAACATTCTCAAGTACATGCGGAGGACTAAGGACTGGATCCTTACCCTCGGTGGGAGTAATTACTTGAGAGTAGTGGGGTATAGGGATGCCAGCTTTCAGGCCGACAGAGATAATTTCCGCTCTCAGTCGGGCTGGGTATTTACCCTGAATGGAGGAGCAATTACTTGGAAAAGTTCCAAGCATGAGATTGTAGCTGATTCAACGTGTGAATCAGAGTACATAGCAACAAGCAAAGCGGCGAAGGAGGCGATATGGCTGAAGAACTTCATCGGAGACCTTGGAGTTGTACCAGCTATAAAGGAGCCTATGGAGATTTTCTGTGATAGTGAGAGTGCAGTTGTCACACCCCCAAACCAATGATGGAGGAAACGTCCGGGGGTGGAGGACTTCATGTATAGTATCATAACAACGAGTATAATAGTGATCAAAGTAAATACAACCATTGTTCGTAGTATTCCGGGGGTGGAGGACTTCATGTATAGTATCATAACACATAGTCCTTTTTTATTGATTAACCTCATCAGATCTTCATCAATGTCATTCAAGTAATCCTCCATTCTGTCAGCCCATTGTTCGTAGTATTCCGGAATCAACAGCGGAATTTTTGTTGTTGATCCAAGCAAATGAGAGAATTTGTCATCGTGTTCAAGTTGAAGTTTGTCATTGATGTATGGTCTTTAAAGAAATAAATTTTTTGATTCAAATAGAAATCAAAGAAAGAAATCAATCAGATATCAATTGGTCTAACACACAAAATGCAGAATCGATACAACTCAATCGATTGACACCAGTTTTATGTTTTAATAGATGATATGAATCCCGCTCTAATACCAAATGAAGTGTGTTAAAAACAATGAACGAATCAATTGATTAAGAAATACAAACAAAAGACTCACTAATCTAAATAAAAAAAATTTGGCTCAATTTCACATATGAAGAGTACAAAGTATGATATATGAGAATGCTCGAACTGTTACTCTGACCTATGTACTTACCATATTTATAGGGTACAACAGACGTACAAAAAATACAAGGACTATACATGACATATCGAAACTACAATGCCTTGTAAATAGATAAAATGTTGAAAGTGCTCAGCTTTCGACACTTACAGACACATAATAAAGACACAACTTTCGACTCTTACTATCTACTTTCGACCCTACAATCATGTTATTGTTTAAATTATTTATTTTAAAAAAACGTGATAATAAACAATTTTATATATATATATATATATATATATATATATATATATATATATATATATATTAAAATTATCCTATCTTAGCTACAGTGATCTTCTTAGGCTTTGGGCAGAACTGGTCCCCTGATTATGGGTGTGTTTGCAGTTCTTTCTTCTAAGGGTTGGCATAATTGGTCCTTTGTTTATATGTGTCTGTTCAAATCCGTCTTAAGGTCATTTTACGTCAATATAGATATTGTTTGTCACACGTGTTTGCATCTTTCAGGAGTGATAAGTGTTCTGTACATGTGTCCACTGCTTCCTGGTTAATCCATCAACAGATTCCACTACATGTGTTTGCTTCCTTCACCTGGTTAATCCATCAACAGATTCCACCGCCTCAAATGCTTCTTTATTCACTTTGACATGTACATCTATCCCTTCTGTATCTTTTTTTCTTCTTGATGCTTCCCAACGCCACTTCCTGCTCCTCTCAGTTTGTCGACTTGAACACTCGATACGGTATCCACCTTCTCCCTTCAAACCTTATGTGATCAATTTCTAAAATCGTCGGATCGTCCCATCAGAAGAAGACGACAGGTTTGCTTTTGTCTTTTGATTTTTTGTTTTTTGACCATTTGGAATAAAAGATCGATGATGAAAAGGGGAACAATCAAAAGGAAGAACGGTCAAAGCATAGTGATTCGTTTTCTACTTTTGATTCCCTACCTGCTCCCTTACCACCGATTTGGGTTTTTTATGAGGTTGAAGAGAAAGATTTTAGTCCGACTGTTTCTCATATACTTCTAATTTTTGTCCACCCTAGATGCCGCCACCACTGGAGGTTTAGCACGAAGATTTTGGTCCCACATAAAGGTATTAATGCTTTTTTTATTGATTTCTAATTTTTGTGTTTGGTTCTTTATTCCGGTTTAACATTTCTGAGTTCGTTTGTTTCCTATGTACAAATAATTGTCCGACTTTGGAAACTGGATATTCATTGATTATTCCTAAATTCCTCAAAAAAAAAGGGTACGTTTATCAGCTATTGACTTAAATTGAAAGTCCTCAAAATCGAATTTGGAAATGGAATGTGTGACTCTTTGATTTCCCTCAACCGACATCAGGTCTCTAACTTTTGTTCCTCTCCAGTTACTCCAATGGTTTTCAACCAGGTATGTAACATTTCAATAGGTTTGCATCTATCACCATTGGCAGCTGCGGTGGTAGTGGTGGGTGTGGAGAATTTCTGCATCGAACACAAAAAAGTAATGTTTGTACTTAGATTAGTAGTTAAAGCATAATAACAAACCAGTGTCTGAAACTTTGCTTTTAGCGAGAGAAAGGTTGAACGACGAGGAAGATAAGTTTGTGAAGCCGGGTGGTTCTGATTTCAAGTTTACAAAGCTTGCAATTGGAGCTTTGTCATGACACCCTACCAGTTATTGGAACAATTTCAAATGGAATGGTAATTTTGATTAAATATTGAAAATTTGTCCGCCAGGTGTTCGTGAAAACTCCCCAGTGAACTGTTTTAAGCTTATGTGCTCTATTATCTATTGGTTTCTGACTGAAAATGATATCAGGACTAGGTTTCTCTTCCGGACGATTGCAGATAGGAAGATGAAAGCTTGTAAGAATGCATTTGCTGCAAGTTTAGATAGTGCTATAACTTGGTTTGATACTGCTGAGGTTTATGGCTCGAGGGTAAGAATAAATTGCATTATGATCCTCCTTTTCTTGATTTATCTTCTTGAAAAACTCTATGTTACTAAAACTTCAAACTTCTGTGTTTTGAGTTCTCATTTGGTGCAAAAATTCTGAAGCACTACTAGGAAGGTAATAGGATTCCCTGCAAGATTTTAAGTCAGAGTTTAATATTTATGAGGATGTTATGCTTCAAAAGATCAAAGGTTTGTTAAGATAATGGTTGATTGTTGTCATGATTGACTTTTCTTCTTTTTGGTTTCCTATTTTTTTTTTTTTGCTCAAATTAAGCTGGTAACATGTATTTTGGGTTTCAGATAGTTGTTCTTTGTTGTTGCACATCCATTTGCTACCAGTGGAATTGTTTTTTGTTCGGGGTTTCTTGCTGCTAAAAGTAAGGCTCATAAATTACAATATTTATTTGCTTAAAATCTTTACTTGCTGAAGATAAACCCTTATGGAGTGTGATAGGTTAACGGATTTTTCACAATTCTTAAGGGCTAAATGCAAGAAACAGATATGTACTTTTGTTTTTTGTTTATTATCGCATCCTACGCTCTTTTTTACTTATTATAACTTTGTATGATGAAAACTCCGTCTAATATAGTAATGTTGATACAAAACAATTTTCATTGTTATATATGGGTTGTTTTTCAAATACAATGTCCTAATATATTTTTTATTTTGAAGGTGCAATGCTATAGATGAATAAATTTTTTAACGTACAATGTGTTAATAAATAAAATAACTGAAAGTATAATGTCGTAATAGAAAGAAATGAAAGTAGATTGTTGGGATAAACAAATAAGTTAAAGTACGTTTCTATTTCTAGCATTTAGCCGTATTCTTAATAAGCCTATGGAAGAGTTGGAAATTGAAAGTACACTAGAATTGTTTGTAGGTTGCTATCCATTGGTCCGAGTAAACGATCTAAGTATTAGAATTAAATGACCATTTTACCATTCCTTCATTTATGTATTTATATGGATCATTTGATTTTGTGGTAAAAAACAATTACAATCATGGCTTGACCCTCCGATCCATTTTAGATTTTTTATTATTTAGTTTTTACTTATAATGATCTAAAATTGCAGCCAGCAGATTGGGATGATGACAAAGATGGTGAGTTGACTGTTCTAACTATTCAAAGCCCTGATTAAAAGGGTTCATGGAAACTCAAATTAAGGTAATTTTAAGGTCATGAGTTCTTCTAATCATCTTCTTTTTGTCCAGTTTTTCTCACCCACAAGGTCTAACCACTTCAACTTTTAAATGATTGGGGCTTTAAACGAAGCTTCTTTGAAGATGTTCCGAAAACTGGTTCTTGATGACTCCCTTTTGACTAAATACATCTTTTTCATAATCTTTTCCCTATCATATTGCTTCTAAATAAATGCTTCTATGTCGATTTTGTAGGGCTTCAACAAGGTCTCTCATAGTGTAATCTTCAAAGAGGTGCACTTATCTTTTTGATGAGAAATATCCAAAGTGTAATACTTCTTTTTCATAATCTTTTACCTATCTTATGATTAGGCGATTCTGTTTCTGCTTTGATCGGTGGCTGATAAATCTCCAACCTCTGATTAATCGTTTGGTTTTTTATAATGACAGGGTTTTACTATTTTCCAATTCTTTAACAATTTTTTTTAAAATCTTTGTTTTGCTTTTATAGGACTATAATGTTTATTTATCTCTTTATAGAGATAACGCTAAACCAAAGAACAGTTAGAACATAAACCCTCATGTTCTTCACTTACTCTATTACCTTCATTCTTCTACCATTTGTAATTGTGCAAGTGGTAGATTCCATGTGGAGCTCAGAAGAAGATTCACAGAGGACACAATATGCACACTTTTAGCTATATCATCTAAAATATGTGGTGTAACATCTAGCATTTTATATCCAGATGTAGTTAAAAGAAAACACGATGAAGACACCAAGTTTTCATTAATAAATCTTAAACTTTTGGCTCTGGATAACTGCATTCTTAGGTTGCTTTATTTTCTCATGCTCTTAGTATGTGTATGTCTGAAATATGATATCAAATTATGATTGTTTAAATTTTAAAAACTATTATAGTGATTTGTTAAAATACTCATGTAATTTCAATTTTTGTTAGAAAAAATTTATATTAAATGTTTTGTTATGTCAAAAAATCACAGTAGCATGAATATATTATTGAAAATCATAAAAAAGAAAAATATAAATTAGACAATTTCAAAAAGGCTAGACAGTTATGAATTTAATAAAAATGTTACTGTAAGAAGAAAAAAAAAAGTTGTATTGTAGGCTATGTTGGGTGGTACAATTTATGGATAGATGTATGGTAGGCTAACTAAACCGCATACATAACCGATAAACAAAAGTATAAAACTCTGGTCTTAACCGAACCCCGCGGAGCGCGGTTTCTCCACTAGTTGTAATTTATAATTATCAAATAAGTGGTATATTTTTATTTGTAATTTTTTAAAAATATGGTAAATACTCTTCTGTTCAAATTCAGACTGTTCATTCAATACGGAAAATAACAATATTTATATGAGTAATACTTTATCCATACATATATCATTATCCATTCAATAAACTTTATCAACTTAATACAAGAAAAAAAACAAAGACTTAGACAACCTAATTATGTGTCAATTGACGTGAGATTCACATAATTCATTTCAAATATTTCAAATATTGCATCAAAATATCATATATTTCATAGTTAACCTAAATTGGTTTATATCAAACATCGCACGTATAAATAATTAAACATACAAAGAAAACAAATTTATATGAAATTATAATTAGGGGTGAAAATATAACCGAAAAACTGAATCAAAACTAAATTAAGTGATATAACCGAACCATTTTAACTAAGCATTTACTAAACAAGATGGTGTAGTTTTTATTTTTGATTAACCAAATACATATGGGTATGGTTTTCATCCAAACCAAACCAATAAAAACTGAACCGAACGCATAATATTAATAAATGTTTTTAATATAATACAATATTAAATATATGGTATGTAATTATATTTGGAATTGTAAATTTAAAAGGCAATTATTTGGAAATATATTAGTGTAACTTATGGTTAATGGTTAATATTGGTTAAATCTTTTGTCCCTCTCATGTTAAGTCCATATAAAGTGACCATTTTACCCTTAAAACCACATTTGGTCATATTTTTTGTCCTATAGTGTTAAGTCTATGTAATATTACCGTTGTGCCTCTAAAACCATCATTGATGCTACTTTTCATCCCTCGGGTGTTAAGTCCATCTAAAATGACCATTTTGCCCTCAAAACCCACATTTGGCCACAATTTATGTCTTTGAAATGTTAAGTCTATGTAAAATGACCACTTTCGCCCTAAACCAACTTGAAATAGATGAGAAAAAAACAAAACTACATGGACCCCTTTTCTAGTTAATATGAAATAAGTGTAAAAAAAATAAGTCTAGACTTTTTTTGGAAAGGGAACTTCCCTCACAAGGGTTTCCGGGCCAGCTTTCGCGCACCGACTAATCCCCGCTGCAAACATGAGGCTTTGACTCATGCCCTGGAGTCACTGCAGGCGAACCTCCATGGCCACAAGGGCTGAGTAGTGCCAGGATTTGAACATGGGTCAATAGGATGTTGAAATATTGGTCCTTCTATGCAAAAAATGACACAATAAAGAACAAAAAAAGTCATTTTTCTTGTTAACAATAGTTGAGGTCACGTCAAGATTTCTGCAACAAAACTTTTTCTAGCATTATGACGTGAAAAAAAAAACAATTGTTATTAAAAAATGGCAGCATTTTGTATAAAAAAACTTAATATTTATAACATTTTGGAGGAAAGAAAAAAAACAAATCATTATCATGTAAAATTAATATTTTAGCATTATTTGTCCTAATCGGCGAATTGGGACTTACACTGACGTTAATGGGACAAACATATGTAGCCTAAATGCAAAAAGAAACAGAAAATACCAGTTGAGTCTTAGATACTTTGTTGTGTTTATGTCCCTTGCTGTAATCTCTATCTGTGAGAGTAGCCTTTTCATGTTTTACCGAGTTCTAGCTGCCCATTTCTACCTTGGGAATCCGAGTCACCATTTGGACCATTAAAGGCACTACTGGACTGTAAAAAAGCAAAAAAATTGTTACTTCATACCATGATCATACAAATTTTGCAGTATTACTAAGATAAGCAGATGATACACTAGAAATAGACATACTTCTTTGGGGCTTTTCCTTGAGGATTGGCACAAAAACTGACAGCCTGCATTTGGACATCAAATGTTATAAAAAAAAGACTATATTGCCCTCTATAACCCTATCAGCTACATGTTGATACACTTACTTCTCGTGTGTGGTTAACTGGGGGTAGGCATGAAAACCATTTCACAGAAGTATCTCTTTCTTGAGAAAAAACCAACTACAAAGTTTCAGATGCAGCAAAATAAGGAAGCATTCATAAAACAAAACATGTTAAAGTATGTTAGGGAATACTTTAAGAACATAAATATTTGATCCAAAAAAGCTTCAGTTAAACCTGGTCACTTGATCGACTTCAAAATTTCATAACAACACCAAATTAAACACAAAGATTAAGTGGAGTATATGAATTGAAGATTCAATGAAATTGACAGAATATTTCTTTTAGCGAACCGTTGGCGGGCAAAATTAAGCACACATATTTCGGATTAAAACCGTAAAAGAGTTGAAATTTTGGTTGGTTTGAATTCAACCAAAATCTAAAACGAAAGGGGAAGGATGGATGTTCACCAAGAAAAGCGAAAGAATTGAGGAGCGTTTCTTTTTTACCTAATTCGGAAGAGATGACCAACAGCGGAGGAACCCACCTCCAATTATTCATCTTCAAGCCCCAAATTCGACGAAAACGATGAGTTCCTAGTCCCACAGAAGGGTTTTGGTTAGTGGGATTGAGAATAAGAGTGTGATTCTGAAAGATAACATATTCCAGCATCTCTCGTACTCGTCGATTCTTGCGAGATCCCAAGACACAAGAGACAAAGCTTTCATCTTTCAAATTAGTATTAGGAGGCTGACAATATAAATGGAGGAAAAAATACGAGGCGAGGAGGAAGAAGAGTGAGTCGCCTCTTAATTTTGTGGTGGATGTGGTGAACGGTTGTAGATAAATAATGGGGAAAATTAGGTTAAAAAGTCAGGGATAGCATCATTATAGGATTATTTATGGACGTTACTAGGTGAAAATCCATGGGACCCAGAAAAAATACGAGGCGAGGAGGAAGAAGAGTGAGTCGCCTCTTAATTTTGTGGTGGAGGTGGTGAACGGCTGTAGATAAATAAAGGGGAAAATTATGTTAAAAAGTCAATGATATCATCATTATAGGATTATTTATGGATGTAACTAGGTGAAAATCCATGGGACCCACGAATGTTAATGTTAAATAGAAATTAAAATTTAATTATGTAATAAATAATATATCATTAAGTTAGAAAACTTATATAGTATTTTGAAATAACTTTTTTATTTGTAAGTATTTAATTACACAATAAATTGTAACTATTTAACTACAAACGAAGATTTTTAAAACCTTACTTTTTACTGCTTGTTAATCGTTCATGGTGATTGCACGTTAGATAAATAGAAATTGTTGTTGTTTTCATCTGTTTTTTTCAAAACTTTACATTGATTTACTGTGTCATGTGTTTATTTTTTAGGCTTACTAACTATAACATTGAAATCCGTTCAATGTTACTGTTTTTCTTAGAATATGTTCTTTATTTTTAGTAAATTTGTAAACTTTGAGAATTTAATCACAAATGTAAATCCACATATTTTATAAAAGTCATTACTTTATATAATGCAACATAATTTTCAATAACTACCAAAAAACCCAAAACAACATCGGAATTGATTTGATACAAAACAAACAATATATGTATGTAATGAAATTAACATAAAAAAATACAATACATAATTGTAAATAAATAAATTATTATGATGGATAAAATGTGCTTTGCTAAAAATAAGTAAAAGATGCTAGAAAGAAGTTGGTTATAAATTGCAAAAAAAACTTCAAATTACATATAGTTTTTATTTTGATCCTATTATGTTACCAGGACCTTTCTTGTCACTATTAAATGTCCAAGTGAAAAAGATATGTCATTTTAACCCTAGGCAAGTACCAAAATTACATTAAAGAAGCCCATAAGGGAAAATACTTGGAATGAGCCGACATATGTATAATCCAGCTTTAGTTAGGATCTCTAAATCTTGTCCAAAAAAATAAAGGTTGTGCCTGTCAACAGCAGTATGTAACACACAACAACAATGTACTTACAGTTTCTTTACACAAAACTTCTAAAGGATTTAGAAATCAAAAAATTATCAAATTAACTTAAATAAATATAAAAGGTTTATATTCATCTTTCGTAAAACGCCACTAATCTTCCAAAACGTGAAATTATAAAAATACAAACTCTAAGTACTTGCTTCTAAATAATTTTAAAACTTTTAGTTTATTAATATTGTTATCTAGATAGATATAGAAGAAGACATGAAATTATTCTTTTACACATTTTATCGAACACCTATGGTTGTTTTATCACTCCATGTAAAAAATAAAAAATGAATGTTATACCCCTGCCACATATTACAACATCTATCCAGACACAACTTTTGTCAAAATTATCCTGATTATACTCCTTTTTCTTGTATGCTTAACGAATTCCATTAATGATATAAAAGTAATGAAGTTTTATATTGAAATATAATAATAAGCAATTTATAAGGGTTAAATATACAAATACTGATATAATAACATGTAACTACATGACATATTAAACTCACTTGAAGTTAATATTAGTGATTCTTATTCTCTTAGCATGCCCTATGTATATTCACATCCTTTACATATAGAAAAAAGAGCATTTAATCGTTATTTTCAAAAAAAAAATTGAACATGGAAATTGGTAAAATTACCATAAGTATTAATATAATTTTGAATGACAAATATGATTCCTCATAGCGCACATCTATTTTCTATAAAAATTCAGTCAACTCATGTTGTAATTGATCTTAAATGCATCTAATGGCTACCATCTTTCAAACAATAAAATTACCCAAAATGAAGGCCCAAAAGTCATTCCAAGCTGATTTGCCTTCATCTTCTCGTGGCTTATTCTTCATCAGTTCATCCTGATTAACATTAAGTATTTGATGAGGCATCTCATTCCTACATATCTTGGCAAGTAGCTTCGTTATAGTTTTGTATGGTGGTGGGCCCTGAAACTTGTGGGTGCATATATCTCTTACTTGAATGATATATCCACTTCCCCTCATGTTTTGTCCAACATTGAAATCCTTTTTAGTTTTAGTCCTCATTTCAAGGCTCTGTATCCATTTTGGTCCTTATTTCAATTCAAGGTTGCAAGAACCAAAATTGATAAGAAAGTTTTCAACCAAAACTGAAACAGGTTCAACGTTAGAGTAAACATGGTAAGAACGAAAGGCACATGAACCATCTTTGTATTTTACACTTAAACATAAGTGTTAAAAGATTTAGAATAGTAACTTACCCAAATGATGTTCCTCTTCCTAAAGTCGTTAATACAATTCAGACTTATATTAAACCACAAACCCATCAAGTGAATTCATAAGAAACACTTCATCAGCTGTAATTATACATCTAATCTGCTTAAGACTAACAACAATAGCCTTCTCGTGTCCTAAAATTATGGCAAAGAATAATGTCTCATTATAGTAGCTTTATCTAATTCCATAACTTTTGAGTTGCCATTTTGCTTAATTTTAATCCAAGAATAGTTTCCAAAAGCATGACCTCATTTTTTTAACCCTGGAAAACCATACCCTATGAAGTTTTGGCCCCCACGGTTAATAAGGTTGAATCTTGAGCTATACCCATTGGCATTGGCAGATTCAATGACTTTATTGGGTTGAAGAAATGGTCATGTGATTCTTCCATTTGGGCCACTTTTATTGACTTTGAAATTTGATGAAAGAGTTATAGAGTAATATGTTGTCTGCATCAATGTGGAATCAATGTCATCTACACTCCACCTAGCATCATGTTAATAAGATCTACAAGTAATCTTAATACCCACTGAAAAAAAAAAGTTTAATTTCACAAAACACTATTGTGTAAAGGTAAACAATGTAATTTTGAAGATAAGGTTAAGGATTCTTGTTAAACCCCATCACCAAATGAATGGTTAAAGGTTTAAGAAAGAAAATTCGGTCTAATTGCAAAGAAATATGTGAGCACAATATTAATTTTTTTTTAATAAGGGTTAGGAGTTATAATACAAAATTATGATGTATTGAGAATGATTTAGAGAGTTCATAGTGTGTATACATGTCGTTGACCATCCAAAAAGTATCCTTTTACTTTTTTCTCATATAGAAACACATCATTATTACTCCAAGCAAAAAGTATCCTTTTACTTTTTTCTCATATAGAAACACATCATTATTACTCCAAGTGATTAGAAACACATCATGCCCTTTACAATACCTATCGGATTATAATCCACTGTTTAAAGCCATTAAAAACCTTAAATTTTTATAGCATTTGGATAATCCACTATTTCACGTTGATTGTGAAAGCATAATTGTAGCCATTACTTTCTTTTGGACTTGAATGCTTCATAATTGTAGCCATCACTTTCTTTTGGACTTGAAAGCATAATCCACTGTTTCAAAGTTGTTCTTGGTGTGTGTACAGAGAGAATACAATTAAAAAACATCGTATTAACCTATTGATCAAAATAATGGCAACAATCACATACCTATGTTGTTTTGTTAAGCAATGGTCCATGTTTCAAATGCAGAAAAATAGGTGAGATTTATCAACTCAGCCCAAACTGTGACCTAGCGGCAAACAAAATTAAAAACTTACAGAACTGAAAACACCCATCAAACAACAATCAAAATATTGACACGTAACATAATTGTTAAATTAATTAAATGAGAAACCTGAATCTTCATAATATTTAAGGTATTTCAAATGGATTTCTAAACAAATTACCTGTCATCTCTACGTCATCTCTACGGTAGAGTAGTTCTCCTTCAAATCTCATATTATCGTTCAAACACTTATATTGAATCCTAAAATCATAGACATATATTGTAGAGAAATATGAAGGTGGCAACTTTGTTGTCAACAAATCAAAGATTAGGTTTCAAGAAATAGGTTCGTACCTCCCTATTAAACCCAATGAGGGACACATACTGTCATGATTGAGTCGCTGAGAGAGAAAAGATGTAGACGATGGACATTTGGGCGTCTGGGAAATGACGTATCAACAATCAGATGCTGACGGTGACTGGACGCATACTAAGATAAGAGACATGTAGGTGAATCCTAATTGAAATGAGAGACACTAAGGTGAAGGAGATGATTAACTTTATTGGATATGAATGTGCGTTCTAGGTATATATGAAATCGACAAAAGGCCGATTCAAATTTGGAGATTGAATCTTGATTAATGGTATTAGGGTGTGGATTTATTGATGATTGATTGATTGTTGATTTCGTGCTATTAGTGAATGAAATTTCAATTGTAGGAAATCAGTAACAAAATCAAGATAAGATTTTTGAAAATTCCGGATTTCATGCACTGAAAAGAAGGAATACAGTATCTGCTTGAAGGGCAATTTCGGAACTTCATTTAGAGAATGTGGGCGGGAAAACACGATGGGGGGGGGGGGGGGGGCTATGTGACTGCCACGTGTCGAGATTCTACTTATTTATTAGATTAGGGGATTAATCAAATTACTAAATTACCTTTATTTAATTAATTAATTATTTAATTATTTGTTTAATTTTGATTGGCTCACAATAATTCTTACATTCATACATTAATTAGTTAGAATACTTGAACATCTCTTTCTATATATAATATATATATAATATAGATATATATATATAATATATATATATATCATGCCACTAAACATCAATTAAACGGTATTTCTTTTTCACTTAATATATTTAATATATAATAAACTTAAATGGGTTCAATCTTATAACAAATGGTCTAGTTGGTTTAGGTAAGCATTAATATTGAGCGGTGATTTCTTATGTATTTGTTTGAATTTGTCTTACATTCCTTTAGGGCTCTCCGAAATAAAGGCCCATATGTCATGTAAATTTTAGAAAAAAAAATATTTTATAATAAAATAAAATTTAATTAGGTAAAAAGTTGGATTTTATTTTTAATAAAAGATAAAAGATATAAACAAAAATAATACCAAAATTTGCAGGTTTTTATGTACAAATGAAGACCATGTATTTTTTTTATATTCGTTAATCATTTATATCGTAACTAAAAAAGAAAGATAATTATGAAATATTATTTTATTTTCTCTTTAAATTAAATGTGCTTATAGTTTTAGAAACAATATGAACTCATTATAAATAATAAAATTTTATGGTTAATTTAAGTTAATAATCATATTATTGATTAAGTTATTTAAATTTCTTAAAAAAAACTAACGTCATAATAAACCATGGTAATTTATAATTATCAAATAAATGGTATATTTTTTATTTGTAATTTTTTAAAAATGATAGTAAATGGTCTTCTCTTCAAATTTAGACATTTCACTCCATACAAAAAATAAAAATATTTATATGAGTAATACTTTATATATATTATATATATATATATATATATAGATATATATATATAGAATAGATATATATATATATATATATATAGATAATATATATAGATATATATATATATATAGGGAAGGGTTATATGGAAAACAAAAAAACCCTAAAAATCATAAAAAATGCATAAAAAAATACCTAGACATCACAAACTTTTTTTTTTGACTTTACACATCAAAAAAAAGTTTTTGATCTGAGGTATTTTTTTTTTATGCATTTTTATGTTTTGTAGGGTTTTTTTTGTTTTCCATCTAACCCTTCCCTATTATATATATATATATATATATATATAGATATAGATATATATATATATATATATATATATATAGTATAATATTATATATTATAACTTAATATACATATTTAGTCAAAGGCTGAAATTTAAGAGGTACAAACCTTAATACATTATGTACACTCATTTTATGCATCATAGAATCCAAAATCTTAATTTGGTCAACATTTGAAAAAGTCATAATCCATATTTTGAATTTAAAAAATTTAAGATAAGATTTGACCCAGAATTCCATCACCTTGGCTATTGAATCGGGCAACATATAGAAAAAGTCAAGATAAGAATGGAAGAATGATTTATCAGCTTATCCTCCGGGATTTTGACCAAGTCCCCTGTAATCCCTAAGTTGAATAATTTGTGTCTTCCATATATTTCAACCGATCGAGTTTATAAAATACTAATGCTTCCCATCATCCTCTATTTGTGAAACCCTAATCGACTCTAGCCACCTATTTCAGCCGTTATCCACCATCTTAACCACTATCAGCCTTCACCTCCCTAACCACCACCGCTCACCACCATTGTAACCACCTTCAACCATCCACCTCCTTCTCACACCATAAACCACAATCGTTTTTGTTGCTTCCTCCTTTTCATTCTCACTTTTTTGTGCTTCTGTGTTCCTATATCACCTTTTTTTGCTTACCACCCATCTCAAACCCTAACAATCTCCCTTATTTTGATTTTAAGGTTTTCGTTTTGTTTCTGTATATTGATTTTGATTTCATTTTTTTTGGGTTTCTCAATTTACCACTCCCTTTTCATTTTTGAAGAAATGGTGATAATCAACACCTTATGTTGACGTCTTCACACCTATGCTCGATTTCAAGCTACTCTCCATTCCTGCATGGTTTGAAGGCCAGTGTATTCCCACATGTTCCTTTAAATGGAGCTGCTTGCCGCGTTCCTTCTTGGGGGTCACTACTAGAAATAATTTTGGGTTTGAGAAGTATGGATTCAAATTAAAAGGTTTGAAGCTTTTAGAGTGATTATTCTTGGAAGCATTTTCCTTATCGCATTTCTTAGTTGCATCAGAAGTTCAAAGCACTACATTAGGGGGCAATGTAAACATTTGACTAACAATCTTGGACCTTTGAATTGACATAACCACACACATGTATCATTTGAACTATATGCTAAGCTTTAATTTTAACTATGACGTTTTTTTACAGCATCACAAAAAGCCTTGGGAGGCTATGTACTGTCTTCTATTTTCTTCTTTCTTTTTAATACAAAGATTAGAGTAATCATATTAATTTTAAATTCTCTACTCTATAAACAAATTTCTAATCAATTTTTTATTAATCCTCCAGGATTCTATTAAGGAAGCTTGCATCAGTAGAGCTAATCTACCCAGTAATCATGATGTTCATACGTTCTAAAGAAGAAACTAAGCTCAAAATGGTATGAGGATCTAGAATTTACAAGTCACACCCTATATACCAAAGACTGTTTTTGTTTTTTTTTTCTCCCTTTTAATTTGCAGAATGATGTCGAGTCTGGATATTTTAACAAATGGGTTATGGAACTTCATTGTGTTTCATTGGTAAAAAAATTACATTTTCTTTTAAATTTATGTTCAGCTTCTTAACTTTTTTTTCTTTTTTCTTACACATCAGAATAGTTGAAGAACAATGACCGATCATGTAAGCATTGATCGGTGCAAATACATTCTATTGTGTTTTTAGAAGGCAGGTTTTTGTTCATTTTGATATCTATCATCGTGTTTTTTGAGTTTTTTCTTTTGGTATAGATATGTTCACCTTACATTTATCGAAATTACTAACTTATTTCTATGGATCCAGATCAGTTTGAACTTTGAAATGAATCACTTTCATTTCTATTTTCCATTCTCAATATTCTATGTTGGATGTTTATTTTAGGGTTTTATTTAGCGGTGTTATTCAGCACCCGCTATTCCTCTTAATCGATTTGACTAGCAGTTACGTTTTTATTGAAAAATTGGCTATGAGTTTTTTTACATGAATCTTTCTGATCATTTGATCTCAATGGAGTTTAAAATTAGAAAACTTGAGATTTGGTGCTTTGAGGTGCCTGCAATTTTGAATTAGTTAATTATATGCTTCACTTCATATGTGTTGACGTGTTTCATGGTTGTAAACTTACAATTCACTTCGATTTTTGTAGGGTTTTTGTTTAAATTTAGGTCCATTTTGCCAAAGGTTTTGACTCTGGAAGAGAAGAAAGTCTCTCACATAACCCATCTTATAAATTTGGACAACAAAGCCAAATGATGAGGTTGATCCTTAAAGAATCTTGAATTTACCCAAGAAAAATGTGGTCTTTTTGTCTTTATAGTTATAAAAGATTATATTTTGTGGTTTTGTAGGTTTATTGAAGTGAACCCAAATCCTATTTTGTTATCTGGACATATACTTTTACTTGATAAAAAATATTTTTAATCGGTGTGTAGTTGTGACGACGTTATTTGTTACTTCTTCTCTTTAATTATACTTTATTGTTTTTTGGTATTTCATTTTCATCAATTGCATTCTCTTTTATTAGTGGTGAGTTCACAAAACGATGCACTCATAAATTTGTGTTAATTAAATGGCATATAGTTCTTTTACATGTGCATACAAACATATAGCATTGTACTTTCACTAATTGAAATAAATTTGTGTTAATTAGATAGCATTTATTTCTATTACTGCATTTTAATTTCGATTTGGTTCTTATTAAGCCACTCTACTTTGAAAATTGTATATAGATATAGCATTGTACTTTCAGCTTTTTTCTTATTAAAGCATTATATTTTGAAATAAACCAAATATAGAAGTTGTTGTTACTCTAATGGGATAAATACGCAAAAGTACAATGCTATAATATAAAGAACCGAAAGTTTGTTATTGTAATAAACAAAATGACATAAGTACTATTTGCATCCGTCGCTTGGCACTGGTAAACGGCTAGTATATGTATATGTATATATCTCCTTGAAAGTCAACTAAGAAAATGTAGAAACCTGCTAACTTCTTTTTCCTTCCTGCTCAAATGGTGTTAAACACGAAAATGTGAAAAACTTGTTTTTTCCCCTTTTGTACCTGTAACAACGTAAATTTTCAAAACAATTTTTCATTTTTAAATCATACTTTCAATCACATGATAATCACAAAACATAATGTATCACTGTGTCATAACAAAACATGTCCCCAGAATCTTAATAACATAAACTTTATAAGTGTGTACGGTGTTGGATTAGGTGTCTAAGCCCGTAACTATTATTGGTATGTATTCGA